GTCTCTGTGGCCCTGGGGGGCTTCCTTCTCCCTGCCCTCTTGGTGTGCTCTTGCCTTGATGACAGCAATGGTAAACGACTGGGTTTTGAGGATGCTTTCTCGAGGGGGTTAATCATAGGGGTTGCTTCCCATGCAGACGCTCTCTTCAGAATCTGATCTTGTGAAGATTTGTTGCTGTTACTTGCCTTTGAGTCAGCCTCCAATTTATGTGACACCATGTGTTAACAGAGTCAACCTTATCTAGAACTGCTTTTGGCTGTAATCTTCATGGAAGCACTAGGCTGTTTCATGTAATGAATGAATTGGAGCTTGCAACCTTTAGATTAGCAACCTATTGCAAACAGTTTATGCCACTTATGTCTCCTATGTTAAGATTGGCTCCGCATACTAAACAGACCTCCGCGGTGCATGTTCTGACCCAGCAGCCACATAGTTTCCTGTGCTGCAAATCTTTACGAAAGCAAAGAGCCTTATCTTCCTCCCAGAGAGCAGTTAGTGGGTTCAAACTTTTAGTTAGTAGTAGTATTTAACTACTGTACCACTCTGGCTCCCTTAGATTTACTACAACTATTTCTAGGACAGATAGACTTGCACAAATATGCTGCCTATGCAGATTGAAAATTATTTTTTCTTCTAATTACGGAAGACAGATTATACGGAGTTATTTGTGTGAATGGCTAAGTGGAAAGAGATCTGTCAGGGTTCTATTTTATATGACAAGAGGAAGCTGTATCAAATGACATCTAGGGTCATGTTTTCGGTTAAGAATTCGATGCCTTTGTTAATACGAGTTCGGTGCTGCCCATGCTAACTCCAGTTCTCTTGGAAACGATCTTTCTCCATAAGTACAGTATTTGTATCTCATTTTGAACTCTAGAAATATGTCTTGTGGTGGTGGTGGTGGTGGTGCTTGCTGTCGAGTTGAAGCCAACCCACAGCTGAATGCCCAGCTGCTTTTTCAGAAGCAGTAAATCTCATGGGAGGAGATTGCCCATTCTTCTCCCTCGGTGCAGCTGGCAGAATCGAACCACGTGCTTTTAGGATTGTAGCACAGCTTCTTAGCACGAGGTTATTGGGACTCCTTATAAATACATATGTGTTTGTTGTTAAGTGCCGTTGAGTCGCAGGCGACTTATAGCGACCCTATGAAGTAGAGTCCTCAACGTTTGGGTGCCTTTCATCCTCTCTCCAGGTTCATAGGGTTTCCGGAGGCAAGCTATTATGGAAGTGGATGCTACTCCTCCTTCCACGCTTGTTTTAATCGGGGAGCTCCACCCCACTCTCTGTCCGCATTGGGTAGCCAAACATTAACGCATTTGACACATCTGTGTCACAGTGTTCAGCCTCACAGCAACAACAAGTGACTGCAGGACGGCAACTTGTACACCAGGACTATACGACCTAGAGGAATGTCTGAACAAAAACAATGAAAGACTGGCCTGAGGGCCGTGAACTAAAAAGTCACCCACCTTTGTCTTGGTCACATCGTTTTCTCTTCACTGGGCCAGGTGATCTCTCTCTCTCTCTCTTGATGTGTACATAAACATATGTGTTTGTACATATAAAAAAATTGGTATTGAGATTTCTTTATAACAAGCACCTTTCCCTCTGCACAAAATTGTTGTTTAGATTTGACAAGAATTATAATTTCTATCGTTGTTTACTCTGCTGTCAGAATTGACCCATAGCTGACCCTCGAGTGGGTTTTCAGGGACAGTAAATCACACAGGAGGAGATGGTCCATCTTCCTTCTGCAGAGTACTAGGTAGTTTCGAACCGTGTGTTTTTGGAATCGCAGCACAATTTCTTACCTCTAGGCCATACAAAATTTGATGATGGGAATACTTCCTTATTTTGCTTTTGGTCGTTTGTTGTGGATCGTTTTATCCACTTATTAATCATTGTAACGTATTTGTACTTCATTTATCATTTAGTCTTCGCCCCTTTGTTTCTCTATCCCTTTTTAGTGTTTGCCTTCTGGAGTGTTTGAAGTTTATTTTTGCTCTTTTTACCTATTTTGTTGTTGTTTTTATGTGCTGTTCAGTTGACTATGACTCACACCGACCCTATGCTCAATAGCTCTGAACCCTGCTCTATCCTGAATCAATCTCACTGTCTCTGATCCACTTACTTTCATTACCTCAGTTATTGTGTCAATCCATCTCATCCGGGATCATCTTCTATGCTGTCCCTTGACCTTTTCAAGCATGATACCCATCTCCAAAGACTACTGATCCCTCAAGGTATAGGCCCAAAGTATGTGAGACTGTGTCTCAAAATCCCTGCCCACAAGGAGCAGCATGGTTTCATTCTCTCCAGGACAAATCTGTTCGTTTTCTTGGCAGTCCAGTGTATGTTCCATACTCTTCTCCAGCACCACAACTCAAAGACATCAATTTTTCTTCTACCATCCTTGGTCCTTGTCTATCTACTTTAGTTCCTTCTAATTACAAACTCTTTAAACCTTAATTAAAAAAATCCTTTTAGATTTAGTTGCACAGCGATAGTATCTTTGAACTATTGACTCTATCTCATCAGAACTTCTGGGAGGTTTTTGTTTTTCTGGCGTTCTAAGTCAGAATTCAGCACACTGTCACATATAGAGAAAAGATGGATCCATTAGAAATTTTAATTATTATTGACTGAAGACTTAATAGAGACTGTAAGAATGCATTTCACATCAATGTTTCCATAGGATTTCTGTCGAAAAACATTATTCATCTCTATGAAAATGTTCATAGACGTTTTCCGTCTTTAGACAGTCTCCCTAGTTGTGGCTCTTAGTTGTGATTCTGATTGCTCCGGATGTGGATTCCACTCTAAAAGTCGGCTTTTCTTCTTTCCTTCCTTGAAGTGCTAGGCGAATGTATCTCAGCCTATGTAGAGGAGACTTGGTAGCAGTAAATGGGTTCAGCTGCTGACTAGAGTCATTGGTTTGAACCTATCAGCTGTTCCGCAGGAAAAGGAAGTGGCAGATTGCTTCCATTAAAGATTGTTGTCAACAACAATGTAGTCATTCACTAGGACTCCTAGCGACCCTGTGAACAGCAGATGGAAACCCTGCTCGAGTTTGCAGAATCCTCAGAATCTCCCATCATGCTCAAGCTTGTTACTGCACCTTGTCAATCCCTTTTTTCTTTTTTTAAAAAAAATCTTGTTCTCTTTTAAAAATTATTATTCTATACTGGTTTATTTACAAACTTCATATACATTGTTTTTCACACCGATCTTTCCCATTTCCTCCACACACACCCCTCCACCTATCAGACTGAGTGACCTATGATTAACCACGCCCCACCCCCCCATCCATCCTCACCTCTCTGCTATCCCCTCCCCCCTTGGATCCTCTACAATAACGATCTTATACAGAATTTGTCCTTTTGGGACTGAGTTCACGCAGCATAATGCTGTCCAGTCCTTCCCGTGTTAGGTAGAAGTTTACAAAATCGTTGCTCCTGCATGCTGCGTGGTAGGCACATCCTGTGAATGTCCCATAGTTTCTCAATCCATTCAGTTGTGGTTGGACATTCGGGCTGTTTCCGTTTTCTTGTGATGGTGAATTATGCTGCTATGAACATTGGTGTACAAGTCTCCATTTGTGTTTCAGTTCTCATTTTTCCAGGATATATTCCAAGCAGTGGAATAGCTGAGTAATATAGTATGTCTATGTTCAGCTTTATGAGGAAACGCCAAAGTGTCTTCCAGAATGGTTGTACCATTTCACAGTCCCACCAACAGTGTAAAAGAGTTTCTATCACTATTCCCTCTCCAATGTTTACTACTTGCTGTCCTGTTAAACTCTGCCGCTGCTACTGTGGTTTTGATTTGCATCTCTTATTGCCAGTGATTTTGAGCATTTCTTCATGCTTCTTTTGGTCATCTGAATATCTTGTTCTGTAAAAATTCTTTTCATGTCTTCTTCACCATTTCATTATTGTGTTATTTTTCTTGTGGAGTCTGTAGGATTCTGTAAACTGTTGATATGAGACCCTTGTCTGAAACGATCTTGTCAAATGTTTTCTTCCAGACAGTAGGTTTTCTTTTCACTCTGCTGGGAAAAGTTGGTTGTTGTGTTTGTTTTTTTTTTTTAAAAAATTATTATTTTTTGTGTGTACTGTCAAATCAGATCTGAGTGGTACAGAAGGAGATTGCCCCCTCCTTCTCTAACAGCATCTGGTGGATTCGAACCACATATCTCTGGGATTGCAGTGCAGCTTCTTGCCACTAGACCACCAAAGCTCCCATGGGAAAAGTTTTTTTATGCACACAGGGAATTTCTCTTTAGAAGGTCCCATTCATCCACTTTATCCTCTCCAGATTAAGCATTTCTGGCTGTATTTGTCAGTTTCTTTATACCATAGACTAGGCCATCTAAGCTTGATCCCAGTTTGTCTCTGATGAATTTCATGGTTTTGGGCTTTACTCCAAGGTCTCTGATCCATCTTGAGTTGATTTTTATGTATGGTGTGAGATGTGGATTCTATTTCAGCTTTCTGCAGCAAACAGTCCAATTTTTCCAGAACCATTTGTTGAAGATGTTGTCATTTCCCCATTTGATAGGTTTGATTTCCTTGTCACTATCAGTTGACCATGCTGATCTTTCTCTTTTTCATTGGCCTTCTACCTTTCTCAGTATCTATGAAGACTGCAATGGAAACCCTGTGCAGCACGTCTATTTTGTAGTCACTATGAGTTGGCACCAAAAGCAGTGAGTTGGGTTTGCAACTTTATATCCTATTGCATTATAACTGACTTCTGTCATGTTGGTATAATCTAGATGTAGCACTCTTTGTGAAATCTAATTTCTGGAGGAAATAGGGTCCCATACGATTATGGTTTCTCTTGTCTTTGCATGTTGTTTCCCACCCCCTTTGAGAAACAGTAAGTCTAATCATCTGAAAACTGGCCCTGATAGTTAAGAGGTCAGTTGATAATTAGAAGGTCAGTGGGTGGAACCTACCAGCTTGCTCCCTAGAAGAGAGATGTGATGATCTGCAGCCATGACGATTAGAGCCTCAGAAGTCTGGGGCCAGTTCTGTTTTGCCTTATAGGGTCACTATGAGTTGGGATTGACTTGATGGCAATGGGCAACTTATTGGAGGATATAATTATTTTGACATTTTGAAAAACGAGTGGTCATATGGAAATGCTGGATTATTTTCTAAGCTGTGCTTATCTTTGCTAGAGACATACCTTTTATTTGTCACAAAGGAAAAACCTATTTTTTTTTTTAAGTTTTCTCTTAACATAGCCACACATCTCAGAAAACTTTCTCATTTGTTTTTTTCTGCAGTGAAAATAAATTGCTCTATAGATTGGCTGATGGTCACAGTCTGTCCAGTTGCAGACAACTATACTTACGTATTTGCTGATGAATTATTTCTAGGGCTGGGCTGCCCTCCCACCTGGATACAAACCTATGCATATGATTTCGTGTACAGAGTTAATGACTGTGGCATTAGGACAATGGTGAGAAATACTTATTATTTGTAAAACAAAGCAAGCAAACAAAAACCTGTCTAAATATGTTGTAAAGTATTATTTGCTAGAAAAGAATGTGCCTTATAGTAATATATATTATAAAATTATAGTATGGGTTGATGACAGCACAGTGACGTCAGTCATAGGTGCTCTGAGCTCCTGCCCATATGCATCAATTTCTAGACTGGGTAAGAGCTAATTTTCCCTCCTCAATATTCTTTGTGTGGGTGTTCTTATTGTATTTTATACAGTATTTCATTTACATTCTATTTCACTCCATAGAATGATTCTTTTATTTTTACAGTGTCATAAAATTAATCACCATTGATCTATGCTCACTATTACCCCATCTTTTCAGATCCCCACTGTGTCTTGCCTAATTCCTTCACCCCCTGCCTCTGCCCACCAAACTCTCACCTTTCAGATTTCCCTCCTCCTCGCCCCTCTGCCCACCCACCACTTGCCTACCTCGACCCTTCCCACTTTGGATATTTATATACATCTTAGATATCCTCCTCTTTTTACAATAATGTTCTTATGCAGTGTATGTCCTTATAAGACTGCGTTAGTTACTCCGCGTAATGTTCTCTGGACTTTCCCGTGTTATGTGGTATTTTTCTCATCCGTTGTTCGTGAGTGCTGCATAGTATCCCATTGTGTGAATGCACCAGTTTCTCAGTCCCTTTGTGGATGGACATTTGAACTGTTAGCATGTTAGGTTAGTGGTTTGCATCTACCCAGAGATGTCTTTGAATGAAGACCTGGTGGCCTATTTTGGAGAGGTCACAGCTCTCGGAAACCCTGGAGTGAACAGATTGACTCGGAAACTCACTCATGAGTGGGTGTCGACTTAGCAGCAGCTGTTTAGATCTTTTAAAAAAGATTTTTAAAAAAAATTTGATTCTTGCTTATCAGGAAATTTTAACTCATTCAATACTACTCTTAATGTTGATAGATCACCAATCTTTGGAAAGGATATTATGTTCGAGGGTGGTGGTGGTATGAGCTGTTGAGTTAGAACCAACTCATAGCCGACCTTCTAGTAGGTTTTCAGAGGCTGGAAGTCACATGGAAGGAGATTGCCCGCCTTTCTCCTGCGGAGCATCTGGTGAATTAAAACCACATGCCTGTGGTTGGCAGTACAATTCCTTACTGCCAGCCCATCAGAGCTGAAGGCTAGATCTTTTAAATCAATCCATGCTCCATGAGCATATGTGACAAAATCAGAAGTTACGCTAGAACTGCAAACAGTAAACAAATGTACACTCATTTGTGTTATCCTGGAATGTGATTTTTGCATAGGTTCCAGAGCTAAACAATTTATACTATACAACTATTTGAGGCATGGGACGCTTCTAACAGTCACTTATAAGTAAGATTTTTTATTTTAAGAATTACAGCTTTGGAAGCAGGAGTGGCATCCACTTCCTAAACAATGTGCCTCTGGAAACTCTATGAACTTTGATAAATGATAATAGCTATAGAAAGACTTGAAGCCTTTTGTTCATAGGGTCACTATGAGTCATGCTCAACTTAAAGGAAATCAACAACAGAGCTTTAACAAATGCTTCAACAACTTGTCCTGGGATGCACACCTGGTTGATGTTAGTTTAGTTGCCAAGTCAGGATGATTGTCTACCAAAACTTGTACTGCAAGCTAGTAAATGATTGAACTTTCAAATTCTCTCTTTCAAAATAAAACTTTTCATGAATCATAAATATTTAATAATTCATAATAATATACTTATAATAAATTAATCATAAAAGATTTTGAAGTGGCAGGTTGCATATTCTCCATTCTACTATCAAGACTTTTTTCTTTTTGTTTTATTATTTTTTGTGTATGTACCATCAAACTGGATCTGACTGGTACAGGAGGAGATTGGCCCTCCTTTTCCAGTAGAGCATCTTGATGGATTCGAACTGCATACTTCTGGAATTGCAGTGCAGCTTCTTGCCATTAGGCTACCAGAGCTCCCTTATTATCAAGATTTTAAAAGGCACTTGAAATTCACCACCGTAGATGACACGCCTCTTCTGTCCTCGTGGATTGTCAGACTCACACATGCTGAAAGTCCCCAGGTTATGGTGACTGACTCACCGTTGTGGACAACTTGGATTCGCCCTTTAATGTTGCGCAAATCTGTTCTCACCTTGAAGCAATTGACCTCACCTCTACTCACATAAATTCTTCATCACAATCATCTTTACTTGTCGCACATGGCATTTTAAAAATTGTGGATAAGGATTTGAATCGTTCCTTGCCCTAAAGTAAGCTAACTAAAACTGAGATTTGTACACCAATGCTCATAGCAGCGTTATTCACCATCACAAGAACATGGAAACAGTCCAAATGTCCAACCACAAAACATGGATTGAGAAATTATGGTACATTCACACAAAAGAATACTATGCAGCACGCAGGAGCAATAACTTTGTAAACTATTACCTAACTTGGGAGGGACTGGAGAGCATTATGCTGAGCGAACTAACTCAGTCCCATAACGATAAATGTTGTATAAGACCGTTATTGTAGAATGAGTATAAGGATCAAGGAGAGGTGGGAGAGGCTGGAAGCAGAGGGATGTGGATGTGCAGGGGGAAGAGGGAATTAATCATTGGATTGTACAATTTGATGGGGGGTTGAGGGAAATGGAAAGAATTTGTTTGAATTTGTATTAGAATTTTGTAAATAAGCTAATTAAAAGAAAAAAATAAACTAAGGCTAACTAAGAACTGTATTACTGATTTATCTATAAATTATACTTGCCTACAAAGTCTACATAAAGATATATTTAGGAACGAGTCTCATTCATAAACACTGGTGTCTACTTGTACTTTGGAGTGTTTGTAGCTATCCTGAGGAAAAGTGTCATCTAGGTTGTTTTCAAATGTGTGTAGACCCTGTCTATAATTAGCAGTACTTCCTACTGAAACTTGGTGTTCTTCTAGGTTCTTTCAAAAGATACTGTCATGTTTCAGTCGGAGATAAAGTTCATTCCAAGGAATAAACAACATGCCTGTCAGATAATACCTCTGGAATGTTTGCCCTCTCGGTGAGTATAATGGATCTACTTGTAGGAGTGTTCTAGCTTCACTCAGATGCTTCTGCAGAAGAATGATGAGCTCTGGTGGTACAGACTTAAGTACTCGGCTGATAATTGAAAGGTCAGCTGTTTGAACGCACTAGCTGCATTCAAAAAAGACATGTAGTCTGCTTTTGTAAATATTTTACTGCCTTGGGAATCTTCGAGACAGTTCTATTCTTTGCTATAAGTTCGCCATGAGTTGGAACTAAGACAATGGTTTTGGTAGTTTTGGCCTTGATGGCTTGGCTTCCTTAAGAAGAGGAGGTTGGGCTAATAAAAGCAAAAGCTTAGGTTTTGTCTCAAGAATTTTACACACACACACACACACACACACACACACACGCACACACACACACACACACACTCACATATTTCCTTTACTACCTTGTGGATCATAACAAACTGTGGCTGACTCTGAGAAGAATGGGAATCCCAGAACATTGAATTGTGCTAATACGAAACCTATACTTGGACCAAGAGGCAGTAGTCAGA